TGTGTGTGCGTGTGTGTGTGTGCGTGTCTTCGTGTGTGTGTGTTCGTGTGTGTGTGCGTGTCTTCGTGTGTGTGTGTGTCTTCGTGTGTGTGTGTGCGTGTGTGCGTGTCTTCGTGTGTGTGTGTGTGTGTTCGTGCGTGTGTGCGTGTCTTCGTGTGTGTGTCTTCGTGTGTGTGTGTGCGTGTGTGTGTGTCTTCGAGTGTGTGTGTGTGTGTGTACGTGTCTTCGTGTGTGTGTGTGAGTGTGTGTGTGTGCGTGTCTTCGTGTGCGTGTCTTCGTGTGTGTGTGCGTGTGTGTGTGTGCGTGTCTTCGTGTGTGTGTGTGTGTGTGTGCGTGTCTTCGTGTGTGTGTGTGTCTTCGTGTGTGTGTGTTCGTGCGTGTGTGCGTGTCTTCGTGTGTGTGTGTGTGTGCGTGTCTTCGTGTGTGTGTGTGAGTGTGTGTGTGCGTGTGTGCGTGTCTTCGTGTGTGTGTGTGTGTGCGTGTCTTCGTGTGTGTGTGTGTCTTCGTGTGTGTGTGTGTCTTCGTGTGTGTGTGTGTGCTTGTCTAGTGGAGTGTACTAGACTCTGGTGTGGACTCTCTAGGGAGTCTACACTCTAGCGCGCACGGCACTCTAGCGTACACTCTAGCGTACACTCTAGTGTGCATCTTTGTGTTTGTGTGCGTGCGTGTGTGCGCGCACATGTGTGTGTGCGTGCGTGTGTCTGTGTATCGTGTGTGCGTGTGTGTGTCTGTGTATCGTGTGTGCGTGTGTGTGTGTGTCTGTGTATCGTGTGTGCGTGCGTGTGTGTGTCTGTGTATCGTGTGTGCGTGCGTGTGTGTGTCTGTGTATCGTGTGTGCGTGTGTGTGCGTGTCTTTGTGTGTGCATGCGTGTGTCTGTGTATCTTGTGTGTGTGCGTGTGTATGCGTGTCTTCGTGCGTGTGTGCGTGTATGCGTGTGTGCGTGTGTGTGCGTGTGTGTCTTCATGTGTGTTTGTGTGCGTGTGTGCATGTGTGCGTGCGTGTGTCTTCATGTGTGTGCGTGCGTGTGTGCGTGTGTGCGTGCGTGTGTCTTCATGTGTGTGCGTGCGTGTGTGTGTGTGTGCATGTGTGTGTGCGTCTTCATGTGTGTGTGCGTGTGCCCAGTCCACCGTCCCGTGCGTGTCTACGCCGACGGCATCTTCGACGTGTTCCACTTTGGGCACGCCAGGGCCCTGATGCAGGCCAAGAACCTCTTCCCCAACACCTACCTCATCGTGGGCGGTGAGTCGGCACACGCGCAGACACACACACAGACACACAAACACACGCAGACACACAGACACACAGACACGCAGACACACACACAGACACACACACGCAGACACCTACCTCATCGTGGGCGGTGAGTCGGCACACGCGCAGACACACACACAGACACACACACGCAGACACACACGCAGAGACACACAGACACACAGACACACAGACACACAGACACACAGACACACAGACACACAGACACCTACCTCATCGTGGGCGGTGAGTCGGCTCACACGCGCTGAGACGCAGACACACAGACACAGACACACGCAGACACACACACGCAGACACACACACAGACACACACAGACACACAGACACACAGACACCTACCTCATCGTGGGCGGTGAGTCGGCACACGCGCAGACACACAGATACACGCACACAGACACGCAGAGACGCAGACACACACACACAAAAACACACACACACAAACACACACACAGACACACACGCAGACACGCAGACACACAGACACACACACACACACACAGAGACACAGACACACAGACACACAGGTAGACACACAGACACGCAGACACGCAGACACCTACCTCATTGTGGGCGGTGAGTCGGGACACGCGGAGACACGCGCAGACACACAAGTAGACACACACAGACACGCAGACACGCAGACACGCAGACACGCAGACACACGCAGACACGCAGACACAGACACGCAGACACACAGACACACAGACACGCAGACACATACACACACAGACACACAGACACACATACACACAGACACACAGATACCTACCTCATCATGGGCGGTGAGTCGGCTCACGCAGAGACACGCACACACAGAGACGCAGACACACAGACATGCAACACGCAGACACACAGAGACACGGACACACAGACACACGGACACAGACACGCAGACACACAGACAGACACACAGACACGCAACACGCAGACACACAGAGACACGGACACACAGACACACAGACACAGACACAGAGACACACAGACACACACAGACACACACGCAGACACGCAGACACACACAGACACGCAGACACACGCAGACACGCAGACACACACAGACACGCAGACACGCAGACACACAGACACACAGAGACGGTGGTGGTTATGATGGTGGTGATGATGATGGCGGTGATGGTGGTGGTTATGATGCTGATGGTGGTGGTTATGATGCTGATGATGATGGTGGTGGTTGTGATGATGATGACGGTATTAGTGGTGGCTATGACGATGGCTGCGACGACGATGGTGATGCTGCGTGCCGTCACCACCCCCCCCCCCCCCCCCCAGTTTGCAACGATGCTCTGACGCACACGGTGATGGTGGTGGTGATGATGGTGATGGTGGTGGTGATGATGGTGATGGTGGTGATGGTGATGATGGTGATGGTGGTGATGATGATGGTGATGATGGTGGTGATGATGATGGTGGTGGTGATGATGATGGTGGTGATGATGATGGTGATGGTGGTGATGGTGATGGTGGTAATGATGATGATGGTGGTGATGGTGGTGGTGGTGGTGGTGATGATGATGGTGGTGATGATGGTGATGGTGGTGGTGATGATGATGGTGGTGATGATAATGGTGATGGTGGTGGTGGTGGTGATGATGGTGGTGATGATGATGGTGGTGGTGATGATGATGGTGGTGATGATGATGGTGATGGTGGTGATGGTGATGGTGGTGATGATGATGATGGTGGTGATGGTGGTGGTGGTGGTGGTGATGATGATGGTGGTGATGATGGTGATGGTGGTGGTGATGATGATGGTGGTGATGATAATGTTGATGGTGGTGGTGGTGATGATGATTGTGGTGATGATGATGGTGGTGATGGTGGTGGTGGTGGTGATGATGATGGTGGTGATGATGATGGTGGTGGTGATGGTGATGATGATGGTGGTGGTGATGATGATGGTGGTGATGATAATGGTGATGGTGGTGATGGTGATGGTGGTGATGATGATGGTGGTGATGGTGGTGTGGTGGTGGTGATGATGATGGTGGTGGTGATGATGATGATGGTGGTGATGGTGGTGGTGGTGATGGTGGTGATGGTGGTGGTGGTGGTGGTGGTGATGATGATGGTGGTGATGGTGATGGTAGTGATGATGATGGTGGTGATGGTGATGGTGGTGATGATGATGATGGTGGTGATGGTGGTGGTGGTGATGATGATGGTGGTGATGATGATGATGGTGGTGATGGTCGTGGTGGTGATGGTGGTGATGGTGGTGGTGGTGGTGATGATGATGGTGGTGATGATGATGGTGGTGATGATGATGGTGGTGGTGGTGATGGTGATGGTGGTGATGATGATGATGGTGGTGATGGTGGTGGTGGTGGTGGTGATGATGATGATGGTGGTGATGGTGGTGATGGTGGTGATGGTGATGGTGGTGATGGTGGTGATGATGGTGGTGATGATGATGATGGTGGTGATGGTGGTGGTGATGATGATGATGGTGGTGATGGTGGTGATGATGATGATGATGCTGGTGGTGATGATGATGATGACGGTATTAGCGGTGGCTTTGACGATGGCGTTGGCGACGACGGTGATGCTGTGTGCCGTCACCCCCCCAGTGTGCAACGACGCGCTGACGCACAAGTACAAGGGTTTCACGGTGATGGGCGAGGAGGAGCGCTACGAGTCGCTGCGCCACTGCCGCTACGTGGACGAGGTGGTGCGTGACGCGCCCTGGACCCTCACCCCGCAGTTCCTGCGCTTGCACAAGGTCAGCGCCACCACCACCATCACCGCCGCCACCACCACCGCCGCCACCACCACCGCTACCACCACCGCCACCACCGCCTCCACCACCGCCGCCACCACCACCACCGCTACCACCACCACCGCTACCACCACCACCACCACCGCTACCGCCACCACCACCACCGCTACCGCCACCACCACCACCGCTACCACCGCCACCACCTCCACCACCACCACCACCTCCACCACCACCACTGCCACCACCGCCACCACCACCACCTCCACCGCCACCACCACCTCCACCGCCACCATCGCCACCACCACCACCACCACCGCCGCCACCCCCGCCACCACCACCTCCACCACCACCACCACCGCCACCACCGCGACCTCCAACCCGGCCTTCACCGTCCTGTACGGGGAAGGACGCTGCGTAGGGAACGTGTCTCTGCCGAACGTTCCGTGCGGGACGTTCTGGACAGGACGACTCAGTCCCCCTGACCCCGCCCCCCCCCCCGCCCCCCCCCCCCGCCCCCCCCCGCCCCCCCCCGCCCCCCCCCCGCCCCCCTTGCCCTGCCCCCCCCCTCCAGATCGACTTTGTGGCCCATGACGACATCCCCTACTCGTCAGCGGGTTCCGATGACGTCTACAAGGACATCAAGGCGGCCGGTACCGGCTCCACCATCACCATCATTACCACCACCATCACCATCATCACCATCACCACTACCATCACCACCGCTATTACCACCATTACCATCACCACCGCCACCATCCATTACCACCACCACCATTACCACCACCATCACCACCGCTATTACCACCATTACCATCACCACCATCACCATCACTACCGCCACCATTACCACCATTACCATCACCACCATTACCATTACCACCATCACCACCATCACCATCACTACCGCCACCATTACCACCATTACCATCACCACCATTACCATTACCACCATCACCACCATCACCACCGCCACCATCACCACCGCCACCACCA